AGATTTCCATTTTTTGTATTTTTCATATAATAACAGAAATATAAAAAAAATAATTGTCCCAAAAAAAATAATAAATACATGTTGCCAAAGGGCTTTTCTATAGTATATAGATATAATATCTACGTTTTATCTTGTTGTTCAGGGGACATAAAACTTTTTGCAAATATATAAAAATGTATTGCAATGATTAAGCAATTACATTTACAACAAATTATAAAACTATCTTGTTAAGTAAAGTCAACATACAACATAAAATTTAAAAAAAATATCTATCAATAATTAGTATGTGAATGTATTAACTTTTTGAATTTAAGAAACTTTAGGAAGAACTGATTTTCTAGAATACACATTATTAAACTTGGTGAAAAATTTTTACACAGATAAGTGTATGAGCAATAAACTACGTTTATATATATATTTTTATAACGATTTTCGTGTTACATCGCCATCTGTATTTGATTATATTATTAATAATTAAAAAAATATGTAGTTTTTTATTATATATGCAATATATTTTCTGTAGAAAAAAATAATATTAATTGATTCCTGGCAGATTTTTATATTTCAGATAAAAATCTTTTAGCAAATATATCATATATAATAATTATTATTGCGACAATTATATATAAATTACAACGTAATAAAATAATTAACTGTTACTCATAGATAATATTTCCTTTTATCATATAATTTTATATTAATTTCAAGTTACATTTATTTATTGCATATATATAATTTTTTCAATTCTTGTTTAAGTTAGTTGATAAACATATCATATCATCATATCACCAATATTAATTGGTTCTTTTGTTTGTTACTTTTTTAAGAAATGTCAATTTTATACAATGTGTAAGTTTTTTTTTGTATTTAATGTTTTAATTTTAATTAGAATGGTAAATTCTTTGAAGGTGTTTTTTTTGCAATACATTTTCAATATCTTTCTAAATTTCTACAATTAAGTAAACCCTTTCGAGGAATTCAAATATGGAAGCTGATTATGCGAAAATCGCTAATACTACGAAAATTATTGAAAACTCATTTTATTATTTGTTTTAGTAATTATTGAAAACGTAAAAAATAGTAAAAAAAAACTAACTTTTATTATGAAAGAAACCAAAAAAAAGAAATAGAAAAGTATAGAATTATATAAACTTTAGAAAATTGATAAAAAATATTTTAAATAAAATCAAAATTATATTTTTCATTTCAGTGATTCTTTTTAAATTTGGATTAATAAATTTTTTCAGATGAATTATAATTCACACATAATATAGATTTCATAGTACAAAGTAATAGTTTTATATTTATGCGTACATTTACATAGCGGTATAAAGGTTTTAAAATAGAATATACACGTTTAATTTATTTTTTTCCAATATAAATTTAAAGTGTATTTTACTTAAAAATGCATACAATTACATTGGATTTATTAAAATAGGCAGTATATTTACTTTACATAAGTTAGCTAACATAAACAGTAACTTAACATAGTTTATAATATTTTTTTTCTGAAATGAACTTATATTAGAATTGCATTATATTTGTTAATAAAAAAAATAGTATAAAGTTCATTATATAAGTTAAAAATATGTTATAAAATGTTATACCCAAATAAATAATTCAAATTAAATAAAAAAGGTTCATCATATTCTTTTTATTTTCTTTGGCTTGTGCTGTGCCGAGTATAAATACGCCTACAGAGCGATGTTATCTAAAAAGATTCCCCTTTAAATGCATTATCTACTTAATGTCCTGAAGGATGTTCGGAATCTGGTCCCAAAAAGATCCCCGAGATAAACGCAAACGTGATCCACATTTCGCATTAGCCCGACTCTCCTTTTTCCATTCTACTTCTATTTCTTCTATATACTATCTCTTGTTGAAAGATTTAAATCGGCAAAATGCAGCAAAATTCAATTAAAACTTCAACTGCAAACAAATAATAAATAAATTGATAATTTATATATTTTCTGGTGTATTATTAATAACATAAAATTCAAATATATACATTACAATATTAATCGTAATTTATTTATCAGTAAAATTTATGATGAAGAACATAGTTGAAATTTTTTTATGTCATACTTTTATTTTAAGTAATTTTTGTATCTAGATTTTTTGTCGTTAATACTGTATTTAAACAAACAAAGAAAAAAATAAATAAACCATTAAATTCCTTAAGTTTATGTTATAACTTATATAAATATGCGGTTGAAACACCGGCGCTTCCACATTTTCTTAAAATTTTCTCGAATAAAAAAAATTATGTAAAAAAATAAAACAAAAATTAACCCATTTTTGTACAAACCCCAATAAAGTAAAAAACAGTAATTTTAAAAACCCCTTCATTTATAATAACTAAGCAAAAAGAATATAACAGCACTTTTTTTTTCAAAAAATACAAAAAATCGGTGTATTCGGGTGGATAGCTTCAAAGCATTTTTTTCTACGCACAATGTATGTTTACATTTACAGTGACAACGTAAGGGATGCAGTTATCAATTATTTTTGGAAAATGTCCAGTATACTCTCAGGGAGTGTCTTATTTGATCTAAATAAATAATGCCGTACAATGTATCTTCTAAACTCCAAATGAGTTATTTTTTGGTCAGATGTTACAGTTTCCATACGTTCTTCATAGTTAGGTCCAACATATAGGTAAAAAGTACCCATCACAATTTCTTGTCAAGAATAACAATACAATAAGGGTTCACAGACTGATCACTTACATCAACTCCTTCCGTTTTTCTTGTTGTAATATTTATCAAATTGAAAATCAAAATCACTGTTATTTTGATAATAACTTTGACGATTGTAACAGATACTTCGACATTCTATTATCTACAATGGTTGCTGTTGCCCTAAAGCCCTTTTCGATCAGAGTATTCATCAAGTGCAGAGTAGTTGTCTAACTTTTATGGTTATATTATATAATTCTACATATTAAAAAACAAATATAAAACTACCAATGGGTACAGCGGGCAAAAATGGGTTAATTATTTGATTGCAATTTAATATTTCAAAGAAAGTCTTAAATATTAAACTCTTAAAATTATTACCATTGCACCATTGCACAATACAAAATAATTTAATAAATTGTATTTATTGACCAAACATCAATACATACGAAAAAAAAATACATTCTATACACAAATAAATTCTAACATAAAATAAAAAATATATATTAATAGGCTGGCCAAAGGACTATATATATAATAAACATATATCATAAATAAATCTGTTAGCATGTATAATAAAATAATATTAGTAAAATAATGTATGCCAAATAATAGTTGATTTTTAGTTAAAAATGGGCAATAAATCAAAGCTCAATATTTAATTTTTTTATCGGTGCTCGTACATTTTTTTATTAAGGGCTTTTATCGTCAGTTCGGTGCAGTGTAACAAACGTGCCGGCAAAAACGACGCTTTCCATGTCACAATTATTTCTGCGTGTGTCAGTCGTGATTAATGACGCAGTGAAAAACATTTTATCAGAGTCGGCGAAAGGTTTATATTTGGGGTGCGGCACTTACTGCAACCGTTGTGTACATTAAATTATGTAAAATTTATAACAGAAAATTCATCAAATTAAGAGTAAAAATAATCAAAATATCTATTATAAATGAATACACTTTCTTCAAAAATAATTAATTAAACTTTATCCACTTGTTAAATAACTTTTCTATTAAGGAATAATGAAAAGGAATATTAAGGAAAAATGAAATAAGAATTTTTATTTTGTATATGATAAACAATATGCGGTACAATAAAATTTTGAAATGATTTAATGGCTCTAGAAGAACAATTTCCGAAAATATATTAAGTATATATAATAAAATTATCATTCGTTAAATAAGTTTTATTTATAAAATTTAGTTCACAGTTACAACTTTATTTGAAAATTGTTATTTAAAAAAAACTAAGAAATATACATATTTTGTTCGAGTTATTTTTATACAAAAGTATCATTTTATATTTTTAACTAGCTAAATAAAATACATCATAGTCCAAGTCAGGGTTTCCTATAGTTTTCCTGAAAAGGAACACTTCGTAAATTCTGAAATTTTCACGAGCGATGATTCGCATAAGAAGTGACGATTAGAAGTCCCGGATTTCGCGCCTTTTACATCACTTTTAAAACTTGTGTTCACAAATTATATGTGTATATTTAATATATTAACCTTCTTCGATTTTCTTTGTCATCTTTGTTTATAGCGGACTATACTTTGCAAATATAATTTGTATTTGCTGTAATTATTATAATATATAAACACATTATGTACGCTTTTTTTATATAAACAAATATTAAAAGTATAAAGAGACCTCCACCAAGTCCCCGAATTGATACAAGTAATATAAACAAATATAAACTAACTTCACCGTGTGAGAATTGGAAAACAGTTCCTAGTGTTAGTGATCATTCTAGTTGCATCTTAGTGTTGCTTGTGATCATAAAATTTCTAAATTTGTGTTTAAACATGTTATTTATGGTGTTTTGAGCAAAATTTAATAACACTTGCATGTCTCCAAATAAAAAGCCAAAGAATTAATATGAAAAACAAAATCCTTCAAAAATCGAGACCAAGTTATAATTTATTTCCGGCAAGGAACGCATTATCGTAATTTACATTAGTTTATATGGGAATACGTGTTTCACTATACGAGTAAAAATCCGGAAATTTTGGAACGGATTAAACTCGTTAAGCGAGGTTCCACTGTACTTTAAAACGTGGTTGCGTGGTAATGTTAAATAATCAATAAATAATAACCACATCAAACGTTAATTATTAAAAAACATAGTAGTGCATCTTTGTAACACGCTGTATTTATTGAGAAAGTTGGTCTGGAGCCGGTCCTGTATGGCAAAAAAAGTCAATATATGAAATGGTTGGTTGGCAACATATGGCGGAATGTTAAATAATAATAAGAATCAAGTAAAAAAAATATGAAGGGGGATGAGGAAATAAAAAAAAAGTAATTTATGAAAATGTTTGCGATGATGATTTTGCAGGATGTCAATAGTGTTGTCTGCGTTATTCCTTGTGGGCGTAGCGTCGGGGAGACACATCGGTAACCATGGCATCGACGCCCAATTTGGACCAATCGAATTAACGGAGGCGCGACGCATATGCGCATCGCTGTGTATGGCAGGGCTCGGTGGCAAGGGCTGCGGAGAGCAATGCCAGAGCATCTCCCCCATCGACCTTCCGGTACAGTTAGCCCGGAACGAGACTAGGGATCTGCTCAGACCGCCGGCGTCCGTCTACTCGAGGCGTCGCGACGCCTGTCCACTCCTCTGCGACTACAGCCTGGGAGAGCCGCTGTGCAGCTGTTCCGCCGAAACGGCCACCTATCGCACAGACTTCTACAGCATCGACTTCGACAGGATCTGCTCGTTCTTCTGCGTCAACCACGACTACAACATCATCGGCTGCCGCTCATGCTCGATCTACAGAAACCAGAGTTACGACACCTACTCCATGCAGACCTATCGTCCGGACAGGAAGATTGATTGGGATGCCTGGTGCAGGGAGAGATGCGCCGAGGGCGACGGGGGAGTCGCCTGCAATTGCGACATACTTCCGCTATCCCTAGCCAAAATGTCGGCGCCGGAACCGGAAACCAAAGAGTAGGAAACCACATCTATCTATTATTACTATTACTGCATGACCTATGATCCACCCTAACTTATTTGACATCGAATAAATCGAGCATGTCATAATGCATTTCGACAACATCATTTCCAACAAACTTGAACCATAAGTAATCCACATCTTAACCTTCTATCACTATCCTTCAAATAAAATCATATTTATTTTATTTATAATGTTACAACAACAAAAAAAATTCAAAAAAAAAACAAAAATATTTTTATAACTTGTTTATGTGAAGTTATAAAACACTATATTTTATTATTAGCATTAAGTGTTTTGATGTCGCAAACGTAAATCAATCAATTTAAGCAAAATACCTTCATAATAAAAAAATATGGAATCTTGAGGAACACCCATCACCAAATAAGTTATTAGCCTTAAATTGATCGAATTTGACGATTGCGACTTGTTCAGAATGTTGGCTTATTAGTCAATATATCAATCTACGACTTGATTTACTGCAAATTCCTACAGAATTCACCTAGAAAATGTCAACGTGACGAAGAGAAAGTGTAATTTGTAAGTACCTGCTTGATTCTAAATTAAATATATATGTAAAATAAATATAAACATGTAAAAGCGACAAATATCGTGAAATGTCTTCCAAATGCATTGTAAATATTTAAATAAGTTCTTTTAGTACAAGATAATATATATACATAACATTTCGATTACATATCCGTAGATATGCAAATCTCTTCCGTTTCTTGAATGATTCTATATTTAGCTATAGAATGATCATATCATGGAATTTTCTTCGGTGTAAATATAAATGTAATTAATTAAATTTAACAAAAAAAATTCGGAACAAAAAGATGCACCCTCCGAGGGTTCTAGATATTTTTCCTACTTAAGGTCAATACTACTTGTATTCATTTGTATCTAATCTCTTTGCGTGTAACCGTAAGGGAATCAAGGGGAGATTTAGTAATGTTGTTAACATAACCAAAGTTTTTAGGCTGCCAATGTACAAACAACAAAATTATTATAATATTAATGTCATAGATTTTACTTTGTTTTCTTTGTTTTTTTTAATTGTATCCATTGCGTATAGTGAAATGTGTAATAATACATTTTAATTCATTTAAAATTTCTCTTTCATTTTGATGATCGTTATAAAATACATAAAGATATATAATATATATTTATGGAAACTGTTGTGTAAAGACAATAACTATTTTAGGAATATTTCAATGTTAAATTGTAATTAAATAATATATGTGTAATGAATAAATAAATATCTATTACGGTTTATTGTGTCGAACGTATGTAATTGAAAATAAAAATGCAATTGAAAAAAAAATCTCATCCTTTTTTTTAAATATCCCGAATCCTTAAATGAATCAATCCACAAATATTTGAAAGCTTCCCCAACCTTTTTTCTACATTGACCCCTTTGAAAAACAAATTGTTTTCAATAGACCCCAAATATTTATACATTGTAATGCACAAATATCGACAATAGTCAAGTTGCTCTTGGTAAAGACAATTTATTGCTGGATATTTTGTTATATTTTTTAACAAACCTTTTAAAATCAAGTGTAAAAATATATTTAATCGATTTCTTGTTTTTTGTAATAATAAGTAAGAATTGGGACATATTTTCTACGAATGTCTTTCAGTTCCAAAATTTGGCAAATCCACATATTTTAAAATTGATAGATTTCAACATTATTTTTACATAATTGCGCAAAAATCCATATCAATATTATATTTATGGTCAGGATTAATCACAGGTGCGGTGTGTGCAGAATCAACCACCAACAATATTCATTAAAGTAAAACACTGAATATCCTCCAGCAAGTTAACAGCAACCGTGGCGTTCCAGTTGCCAAGACTGAATCTGATTACCAAATCCCCGCTGAAGGAGTGCGTGCCCCGATCATGCAAAGATGTTGGTCTTACGCTCCAAAGTGCTGACCCCATCAATTCACTAAACCCTTTCCAAAATTTCGCTTGTTTAGATTATGAAATTGTTTATTACTTATTTATGGATAAATTGGTATAAATCATTTTTACTAATGAGTAATTATATTATTTAAGAAAGAACATTTATTTTTATTTGCCATACTTTGAACCAAAGTGCTATTACCTAAGTAATTTGTTATTATAATTTTGAAATTATGAACTAAAATCAAATTACCAATTTCCAACCCTATATTTTCTAAATATTTGATTATTGCCAAAGTGTAGCAGATTTCAGATAATAAATAAAAGTTAAAGAAAAAAATTCGAATGCTATTAATAAATTATTGGTGAAATATAAATGCTCCCTCTGTCCGAAAATATAGTATACATTATATTTTTTTTGTCCGAAAATATGATATATATTTGCGAAAAAAATCAAATAAAATTAAAATTAAATATAAAAAAAATAAATTAATTTTAAAAATAATAATAATAATATTTATTGCAACAAATATATATATTGGTTGGTTTGTTGTGTCCAACCATTATTATTGTAATTGTTATTATTAGTATAGTGTGACAGGTTATCGTCTTGTAGGTTAACTTCAGTAGTATATTGATGCTCTGGGATTCCACTATTTCCTTTCACTGTGAACCTGATGTCGTGTCCCACGGGATGGAATTCTGGACACAGTGGAATATTATCTGGTGTTGTTGTTGTGGAGTCTCAGTAGTTAGGAATTAAATAATTCAATTGGTTTAAAAGAAGTTTATTATAGTTGGTCCCAAGAGTACTTGTCTTTGAAGGTTTTACTGAGACTAATTCTAAATAGTTATTCTACTTACAAAGTTAATTCTTATTAATACGGGGTGGGAGTTGTGATCGGGAGTAGGGTTTGATTATATTGATGACTAAGCGTTCCCACGTGGTGGTTTGTTTATTATAAGACCGGGACAAATTCCTATGCATTTGTTTATATGAAAAAGATGATCGATTACGATTGTACATGTTACGATCATTATGTGTTTATAATAAGGACTTGAATTCGGTATAAAGGTATAGGAGTATCGATGGGAATGTTTACGCTTTGTTTATAATAAAGTGTATCGAACTGGAATCACGGTAGAGATTCCTTTATGCTAATGTTTATATAATAATGCGACTAAGAGACGCCTTGGATGTCTCTAGTTCGTTAATGCACTAAGCTAATTTAAAAAAAAATTGCAATTTTAAATTTTTTATTTATATATTTGTAATACAATGATATAGGGTGTGGTATTAAATGTAGACTGCTATGGGCTTTAGCCTCTTTCAACCTTCTGTTATTAAGGTTTTACAAACAACTAAACTAATAATAACAATTACAATAATAATGGTTGGACACAACACTGATGCTATCCTTAACACTGTTATTGTCCATTGACTTCGCTGAAGGTCCATATGCTGAGACTTATTCATTTCACTGTCCATCTGTGATGAACGATGGCCCTATTGCTGCAAGCACCGGGAGGGCTCACACAAAGGGTCTGGCTTGAACAGGATTCGAACCGTCGCCGCTTCGATCGTGGTAAGGCGACTTAACCATTCGAAGAAAATGAAAATCAAATTGTTTTGCTACAAAGAGCTTTGTTGTTTAAAGATATCGTCATTTCTCGACGATTTATATATAAACTTCGGCACAATATTTACATTCTCCGTATTGAGTTTGTGCTGTATGTCAGATCTTGTTCTTCATATAATATAATATTACAGTTGCAACGTTGTTCATTAGTTTATTACTTCCATTTGGCATCTCTTCTTTGTAAATTTACGTTATAATGGGTTAAAATGGACTATTTTATTTTTCATAAAAAAAAACTAATTGTTGGTATTCAAATTCAAACTTAACTCAAAAGCAACACCTGTCAAATATGTTACAATAAACCAATTATTAAAACGTTCTTTAAAGTGATTGCTTTATTGTAGTTCTTTCACATTAATTGATCAGTTAATAATTGAAGAAAAAAAAAGTTTGTAAAAGAAATTATTTCATTATTTTTAAAATCTTTGGTATATTGTTCGAAAAGCTTTGTTTAATAAAAATTTAACACAAATATTGAATTCATATTTTCACAGGAGTTTTCACTTTATAAATATCAAATTATGAACAAGTCAATTAAGTCATATAAGTGCGGAAATAGGAGCAGAAGTGAAAATAGGATTCACAAATAAATAACACATTTGAATACATTGATAAGCCAAGATCGATCCAGGAATTTACAACATTTTAAATTACTAATTAATAAAATATCCCGACAGTTACAAAATCAAATGGGATCAATTACCAAAATCAAATAATTTTTTAGCGCAACTATTCAATATTTAACTACAAAAAAAATAATTACTAGAAATATTCTCGATCTATTATACAAGATAAAAAATAACTTGTCATATAATTATTATAACATGATATCTGGAGAATATAATGTTTCAGGTAAAAATTGAATACATGTATGTTTGCATATTTGTATTCTTCGACATATATTTTATTAGTTTATTTCTTCTTTTGCATCAGCAAACAAAAATGATATTAATTAAAGAGATATAATTGATGAAATTACGGGTGCGGACGCTCGTCACAATAATAATTAAACAGAGTTGGACAATTCAGATGGCGCCCCATTACTTGTAGCACAATGAAACACAAGTTATAAACTATTAATTTTACTTTTCCACATAATTCAAGTTTCCGAAATCAAAGATTTTGCGACATAAAAGTTATAGATGTGTTTATAATTAATAATTTAAAAAGAAGTGTTCTTCTTTTCTGGCGCAATTTATGAAACCGACCCCGATAGATAATATTGAAACCAGTATGGTATACAATTGTGGGATGAAACTGGCTGTATCCCAAAGGTTTGTATCAAAATGCATAAGAAATATTATTAGCATGATAAAATAAATACAACAAATATATTTAGTAGTGTAGAGTTATCATATAAATTTAAGTTAATTACTATTATTGTTTATAATCATAATAATGGTAAACAACATCATCAAATGATTTGGGTCAGTTTGGTATCCACTTGAACAGTGATTTTCAAAGTGAGGGTCGCAGGGGGGTCGCGTAAAATATTTGCAAAAATGACAGATCAATCCTGGTTGTTTTTCTACATACACCCATGTTTTGGGGGGTCGCATAAACTTTTAAGTCCAAAAGGGGGTAGCGGACCAAATAGTTTGAAAATGGATAAAACAACAACGTGCATTTTAGATTTTGATACTTTTCTTTTACTGGAAAGCCAAATGCCACTAAAGAAATAACTTTTTTTTTTATGCTTTTTAAGGAGAAGTTGCTTTAGCTGATGACTGTTAATTTCAGCCTGAAAGATCAAGTGGAATGTCAACCAAAAATAATGATGAATTGAAGACATCGATCGAGAATAACCCACACTACACGTTAATTAATTAATAGATCAAAATGGTATTAATCATACATAATAAGTAAAAATATATATAGATATAAATTTCGAATTTTAGTGAAAAATCAGCAGTTTCCTGGCAACCCAATACAAATATAGATGAACCTTTAGATTAAATATTTTTGAAAGGCTTTTGCAAACTGAGCTGTATTAGTGTATGCAACTTAACTTACATAAATACTTTTAGCATAAACTATCATTTTCAGTTTGAGTGATGAGAAAAGTGATATGCAAACAAATCATTGTCAGAGCCGCTGGAACCCCGGCTCGAATTGTCTCTCCTATGTTTTTTAAAACCTGTAAACCAGACTAGCTGTAATTGCAGTAATTGACATGTTGAATATCCTGTTGAAGTAGAAACAAATTGTTGAAATATGACCAATCATTTTATTATACATATCAGATAACCAACCATAATTCTTTGTGGAGTACAAAGAACTTATTCCACAGAAACATATCTGGATATAAATGTGTTAACATAATCAATTACTTGGCAAATTAAAAGTGCTTCAGTACATAAAGTCAGTGGAATCACTGAAGATAAGATTACTATATTTCTCATGCAAAAAAATAGATACATATTATATTATATGATTATTTTCAGCGAAAATATTCTTTTATTTCTGTATTTCAATTAAGAGATAAATTACGATATTCCTAATGTGTGGGTA